GCGATTCTTGCTGCTGTCCAAGATCAGAAACAAAAATAGTTATTACAGTATGTATGGGTGCGTGGCTCACTAGGTGGTATGGATACACAAGCAACCATGTAGATGATCAAATCACGGGGTTCACATGACCATTATTCTCCAACTCTGGCTCTCTGGCTCGGGTGCATGTGCTTGGTTGTGGATGTTCTGGAAAAGTACACCGCTTCACGGAACTGCATCGATATTCTCTTGATCTGTTGCTGAAGTCAATTTCAAGCAGAACCCATGGCGAGGCAAAGGTGGCGAATCTGCTCGGAACTCAGGGGAGTCAACCCAAACTTGGTTCCGACCGCAACATCTCCAGGTGGTACTTAGTGCCATCAAAAGAAATCTAAAAACACCCAAACAAGTCTTTCTACATCTGGTCGCCTGAAAATCCGTTTAAAACATTGTAAACTGGCTCCGCACAAGATTTGTACTTATGAGAGTTTGCAAAACCTCACGAACACTGTCAACGGTCTTGATTGTCTGGTCCTCAGATTTCGGTCCAAGAAACTTTGCTTTGGATCAAATCATGTTTAGCCACAAAATATTGACCGGAATCTGCAGTCCAGGCAGTCCCTTTGAGTCTGAAAAGAGCGATGTTCGGTTTGGATCTTGGATGATCTTGGTACTTCTTTGGTTCTAGCAAGTGGGCTCAAAGACCCACTGAAGGGTTCGATCAGCAAAACCCTCTTGTTACTTGTTTGACATCTACAACGAAAACACAAACAAAGGAAGCCATGAAATCCTTCATGATACTTGAATTGTCCGTGTCTGTCGCCTCATGTTGGCAACTCCTGATCACTTTGGCATTGTGGCCATGTCCGTTCCATTGCCTCAAGATGGCCTCACTAAAGTGCTCCCAAGTGCTGGAGATCTGCCAGAGGCACAGTGACGTGGGGGGTGGCATGAAAGGTGGCCAGGGGTGCAGTGCTCGACACAGCTGATTGGTGCCTTTCTATCCAAAGCAGCTGGAATCTAGAACAAACGGAACTGACATGGCACAAGAAAAGCTGTCCTTCCCACTTGGAATGTCTCGACATGGCTGATATGGCCCACATGATTCTTGGGCAAACTGAAGCAGATTCCATTGGGAAGCTGTCAAGACATGGGCAGTCCACCTTCACTTTAATTCAAGGGTTACTTCTCCTTGGGCTTTTTGAAACCATTTCGTGAGGCAATAAATAATTCGTGAGGCAATAAATACAAGAGCAAAGTCGGTCAGCACTGACTTCTCTCCGCGAACCCCCCTCCTCTCGGGACCGTTGCTGGCGTGCCTCCTGCTATGCAGGGTATGCATGTGCCCGAAGCACTAACAAACTTGCTAATTCAATCATTCCAATGATAGGGCTACAAGGAGAGGGGCATTGAGTTTGTTGACAGAGAGGTGCCTGCGACAATGCAAGCATGCAAGCCAAAGGCCGAGGCTGCAAGCTACATATAGGGTATTCCGCTGACCACTTTGGCGCAAGAATACGTTGATTCATCCGGCTCCACTTCAAAAATACAAAAAAAATTATTGTTTTAATATGTGTTGCCTACAGTTGGATTCTCAAAGTATCTAAAGCAAAAAGCCTGAAAGTATTCTTTGCGCGAGATAATATATGATTATGTGCTTTTCCGTCGAGTGCTGGTGCACAAGTAGTACAAGCGACAGCTTGGTGTGTCCACATACAGCGAACAGTCCCTACCGTCTTTGTTGAAGCACACAGGGTTACTTATCAATTTGCACTTATGCAAGCCAATGTGATGGTTGATCCAAGTTACGAAAACGCTATTCTTCGCGAAAATTATCTGTACTTTTGTGCATGAATAATCAATCCTTCACGAACTCCATGTTAAACTTGCGCGGGGGGTATGTGCTAGAAGTCTTCTTGGTCTGGTTGCTTCCACATACAGTACCTACTGTATCTGTCGCAGATCTTTCGCAACAAAACTTTGGAAACTCGAAAAGGACTTTTGCGAACAGCATAGGCACGCAATGACCCTAGGCCTAGGCCTTATGCCGACCATTTGATCAACTACCATGCGGATATGTCGGCGTTGAAGGCCGGTTGTACTTATATATATATATATAATCATATATATATATGTTATATTACATATAAGGCAAAAAAGGGCCAAGCTGCAAAAGGCCTGAGTAGAAATGCAGGTCATCTACTGTACATGTTCATATTATATCGTTGCACTTCACAGGACATTTGTACTCCTGCTAGCTATGGACGCAAATACAAGTGAGTCAATTCCTCATCACATGATGGCTTCTTCTTAAGCTGACACCAATGGGCCTCCTGAGCCGCAGCCAGCTTCCGTTCTTGGCGGCGGGCTTTCTTTGCATCCTTGGTTCATGGAGCGTGCTGTGTCAGCCCTTGCAAACATGAGAAGCTCTGCACACCACACCTTTGAAAGCGCGACTTGCATGGGTGGACCATATTTGGATTTGCCCGCGGGCCTATGGGATTTGGTGAGTCTTAGTCCAGACTCAAACACATGACCCCAACACTGTCAACTCTTGACGATATCCAGGGTCTCTGAATGCCAAAGGACTCTGTAATTACATCCGTTGTATCTACTGTGCTCAAAGATTGAAAGATCGAAAGTTGTCGCTGCCAATCTGAGCTGAGAATCATAGTAGAAGCCGCGGGTCATCGCCTCTGCACGGCTTTGTCGACCACTCCTCCACCCCTTTGGGCCTTTGGCAAAGCTTTAAAACAAATAAAAGCACCGTTTTTATCAATGGCCTCCAACCTACCAGCGTCCTTGCTCCTAGTAGCGATGCCAGGAGCCCCTAGTAGCTTCTTGTTCCTAGTAGTAAGGCCAACAGCCCCTAGTAGGCCTTTGGCCACTTAATCATTAATCCAGCTTCATCCCTGCCAGCTTGCTTGGTAAACATAGTGAGCCCGGCCACAAATTTTCTATAAAGTTCCGTTCACCACAAATGACCGAGTGGATCCACCTTTTCACCTGGTCTGTCAAGATCTTTCTCTCAAAAGCGTGAAGCCTCGGAGTCTCAATCGACCGGTTCACAATTCGGCCGAACGTCACGACTTGTTGTCGACATGACAACCACCTGCATCCGACTTTGCCGGTGCTGCCGCAAGACCAGCTGCACCAATCGTGGCCAGCCTACCCCGAAAGGCCCGAAAAACTTGCGGCTCTCACTTGGCCTCTCTCTCTCTCTCTCTCTCTCTAGGCCCTAAAGCTTTAGCTTTTCAAAGTGGCTCTACAACCTGGGCAGTGCTCTGCACCCATGCCCATGCTTTGATGCTGAGTTAGAGACTAGGTGATGTTGTTGCAAAGTCAAAAACTTGTGCGATTGCTGCAGTTGGACCCATGCACAAACAGCCAAGCACAAACATGGATTCGAACTCCGGTGCCTTGCGTGGTTTCCTGGCAAGGCACGTGACACACTTCCAAGCCATGACCCAATACACAGGGCGAGCAACAGTGGTCAGCAGCAAAATCAGCAAATAAGAGTAGCGATCATTGGTGATTTCTGCTTGGAAACAGCAACCGAGCGTCCCGAAACCTTGTGAAAGCAGTCGCTCCGCGCCTCGAGAGCCACACCTGGCAGTGACCCAACTGAATGCAAAGGATTATGCAAAGGATTGCAAAGCTCCTAGTAGCGTCTTGTTCCTAGTAGCGATGCCCTTTGCTCTTAGTAGCGTCCTCCTTGCAAAGGAATCACACTTAGTAAGAGTTGGAATCAAGGCACTATAACAAAAGTGCGTTTTTGATCGTTTTTGTAACATTTTGTAACGACATGCATCGAAGATCATCGAACAGTGGATCAACTAACAAGACTGAAATGCCGAAAGCACCTTGGGGAGTGGCGGAGCGTGAGCTCTGCGCCTGCGTCATGTGTGCCAGAAGAAATGCCAGTGTTTCCAACATTGTTTCCCCAAATTTGTTTCAGCCCATTCCACCATTGCTTGAACACACGATCAAGCTTTCCAAGTCAAACCAAAGACCAAGACTTTAAAAAGTCCTTATCGCTGTGGCGCCGGGATAACAAACTCGCTGACCCAAAAGAGCAAGAATAATGCCTTATGTGAAGCTCAGCGCTTCTGGACTCCACAGTCTTCACAGGTTTCGTCAGCACTTGGCAAAGCCCTGGCTGCAAAGTTTCATGACCCAACATCCTCTGAAACACCGATGGCTCCTCAATGGCTTCTTGCAGCTGGAGATATCGTTGGGGCACAAACTCCCCTGCAAGCAGCAATTGCCGAGCGCAAACCCAGGAAATTATCTGTTCGTTTCAGATCCAAGTGGCTCAACCCAACAAGAACTCAAAAAATCAAAAGAGTTGATGCTGACGCCACCGAGGCCTCAATGTCGGCCATCCGTATATACTATATACTGTCTGTGCACAAATATCAGAAATGATGTCAATCGAACGAGGACAGAACGCTGAAAAGCTGAAAAGCAAAGGGCGGGTGGACAAATAGATCGCTAGATCGATACAGCAAATGCATAGATCGATGGAGGGATAGTTATTGAGAGAGAGAGAGATGAAACAAAAGAAAAGGTGATCCATGGCCATAAACATCCATAAAGCTATCCTTGCCGGCTGATGCATCAGGGTGCACGACCAAGGCCACTTCGGCTGCGAGAGGAAAAAGCAAGCAGCAAGCACATAGAGGCTGCAAGCAACAGGAACATCTGAGCATCCCCAGCTTTTTGGTTCGCAAATCTACATGTGCTTGATGCAAAAATAACGCAAAGTGCATTGATATGCAACAAGTTGATCTAGAGAATCTAGTGTGCATGGCCTAGGACAACTGAAAAGCTGATAAAACAAAATTGGTTTGCCGGAAGCGCCTTGAGGAGTGGCCGAGCGAGAGCGCTGAGCCTACTTGGGGGGTGCAACATGTCAAATCCCCAAAACCGGAGCTGATTTGCCTTATGACCATAGTCACATAGAAGCTTGTGACCAGAATCCTCAGGTGTTTGTGAAAAATATGGCGTGCGAAGGCTCCTTTTCTGCGAAGGCAACAAAAGGGGTGAGAGAGTCAGGCACGGTAACATTGGCCAATGAAGTGCAGCCCTCAAAGGCAAACTTCCCAATAGAAACGAGCTCGGTTTCGGGGACAAACCACAGTGTTCTCAACAAACTGCAGCCTTGAAATGCATATTGGCCGATGGAAGTCACAGAATCAGGGATTGTCAAGCTGACCAATGAGCTGCAATTTTGGAAAGAGCAATCACCAATGAACTCCACAGACTCTGGAAGTGTCAAACTGGACAAAGCCTTGCAGTTTCGAAAGGCACCTGAAATAATTGAAGTCATAGACTCGGGAATCCTCGAAATGCATCTGCCCCAATGAAAGTCAGAGAGTCGGGGAGCATCAGGCTGGACAAAGAGCTACATTCAGAGAAAGCAAAGTCCTCAATAGAAGTTACTGTGTTGGGAATGGTCAAAGCCACCAGAGCACTGCAGCATTGAAAAGCGCTTTCGCTGATGGATGAAACAGCGCTGGAGATGTTCACGATGGCTAAAGAGCTACAGTTTTGAAACTCTGATCTGCCGATGAACGTCACAGAGTCTGGGATCGTCAGGCTGGTCAAGGATCTGCAAGCTATAAAACTCCAATCCCCAATATGAGTAACAGAGTTTGGAATGCTTAGAGAAACTAAAGAGCTACAACCCCAGAAGGCAGAATCATCAATAGAAGTTACGGAGTCAGGGATTATCAATTCTGCCAATGCGCAACAACCTGAAAAGCAGCCGTCTTCGATACGAGTCATGGAACCAGAGATTGACAAGCTGCCCAAAGAGTTGCAACCACAGAAAAACTGATTTGCCAATGGAAGCCACAGAGCTGGGAATGATCACATTTGACAGGGCAGTGCACTGCGTGAAGGCAAAGTCCTGGATGGAGATTACAGAGTTTGGGATTCTTAAGCTCGTTAAAGCACACCCTGAGAAAGCATGTTTACCTATGATCGTCACTGAGCTCGGAATTGTCACATTGGCCAAATGCACACAGCCTTTGAAGGCGAAATCCTCAATGCCAGTCGCTGTGTCGGGGATGCTCACTGCATAGAGGTTTGTGACATTGCAGCCCGATGTTGCTTTGCTGTAGCACTCCACCATGTGGCTGAGAAACATAACGTGCACTTGAGAAGACGGAGAGATTCCTGTCTCCCTTAAGATTTTGTTTTTATCGTCCACTTTTTGCCCATCAATGATCAATTCCACCGTCGTCACCTTGCTGACTTGGTCTTCTTCGGGCTGTAATGCTTTCAGCTGACTCTTAAAGTTGCTGATTTCGATGTCCGGCATCACATCGATCACTATGACTTCACCGCTCATCAGCAGAATTGAAACCTTCATGGTCTCTACATGGCCGGCCATGGTAGCTTTCGCTTCCCTTGTCTTGTTGCTACGACAGTAGATTGGTCCCCATGGATGATACGGGCACGTGTGTCTGCCGAAGCTAGGTGTTCAAAGCCAGCCCTGGGAAAGGTTGTAGCTCCATTGCTTGAGAAAGTATATGCTGCATCACTCAACCTTTCCACTGCAATTGCCTATGAGAAATCAGGTCCCATCATCCTTAGGCGGAGGGCTTTGTCTGGCAGTCTAGCAAGAGTAACTCTGAAAAAGACCCGCTCACTTCTTGGGATCTTCAAGTATCATTCGTTTGCTTCTTGATTCCCAGAACTCCCCCGAACAGCTCCTCCATTCCCTTGTGCAGCTGCCGGTAGCGTCGGGGAACGGGTTCTGCATGCGGGTACGCTGGAGGCGCCAAGACACATTTGGCCTACCTTGGCCTAGCCATTTATGGATTAACAAGTTCTAGGAAACATGTGATGTCACAAACGGCCATTTTCCGTTGTGACTTCCATTGCATGGACCTGGGCCTTTCTAGTCGCTTCTGCGGTAAATGTGGCAACAGCTTCTAAAAGCAGAGCATGCAGCGAGTGAACGGTAGTGATTGTGGTCGGATTCTGCCTACTGTACCATTAGCTTCAATAAGTAGCTAGCTTTGTTGTGGGGGTGTCTGATCTTGGCATGAAGGGAGTGCAAGAACAAACCTGCAGCAGCGTCATTGATGCTGTCAAAAATGGCCACCTCGCGATATTTGGACTTGACTTACAGTAGGCCAGGTTGCATGGGGAAATAGCTATCCTTCCAAGGTTTTGCAAACAAACCCCGTAAATCTGGGTGCTGGAGTTTAGACACAGTCACTCCGAGAAACTGCAGCATTTGCACCTTGTGGCCATGTGCAAGCTTCTTGCAACAAGTGGCAAACTCTCTTCCAATCTCAGGCCCAGCCTATTTCAGCGGCCTGGAAGGTCAAGAACTCGGTTGTCTATATTCATCACTCGAAAGTCTTTTGTCTGCTGAAAGGTGCACTAACAAAAACCCGTTGCTCACCATGTGGCAGGGGTTGCGAATACTTCAGAGGAAGAGTTGTCGATTCTTCTTGACAGGTCTCATAACATCTGTTTGGGTCAGCCGGGCATGGAACTGGAGAATCTATTTCAGGTGGTAGGTGTCAGAAGGTGACTCTCCAGGAACTGAAATTGGAGGGAGGAAGTCAGTTCTCTTAGAGGGCTCTTGAGGGAAAGGTTGCAGTGCCGAAACCTCAAGACACACAACGTTTGTTTTCTTGCCATCACTGTGTATGTTCTCTACTACCCAGTGTCAATCTTCAAACCTTGACTTCATACTTGGAGTCAAGTTAGCTTTTGTTCGCAAAAAGAACACATACTGTACAAAAAGTACACACAATGTACTCCATCAATGCTGCTTAGGTTGAAGCGGAGAGAAAGTGTGTGTGTGTGCCCCTTGTAGTCACAGGGATTCTTTTGAATTGTTTCTCTTTCACATGAGCAGGGGGTAGCGGCAGATCACTTGGGACCGCTACCAACGAAGACGCCCATTTGATCTGGTGAAATCAGAGTTGGCCGCTCTGACGTACCTGCTTGACTTTTAACATTTGCTGAGTTGAGCTTGACATTCCGCAGACTTGCACGCTACGACGTCACCCTGTCGTTTCGACTTCGACTTGCGACTTTGGCCCCTTCTCGGCCCCGAGGTTCCAGTGGTTTCCTACTTGTACCCTTAGGAAATGGTACCCTAGGCCGGCGTGTGGCACCGCTGTCAAGTCAGTACGCATATCCATAAGTGTGTCTGGCCCTGTGCCAGTCCGGGATGAGCCCGTAGAGTGCCTCCCGTGGGCCCGTCGAACGGGTGTCTGTCGAACGTATCCCCTGCCCGGATACAGAGCAGCTCGCAGCGAGCGTAGGTGGCCTAGGCCGAGAGAACTCAGATTTTTGTCTCATCTTTGAAGTTCCAAGTTGGCTCAAGCCTTTACGTGACCGCAGCGGTCCAAGCTGGCTTATCACCTCAACGTGGTCAGAGCGACCGAAATACTTTTGAGGTTCGTTGGAACCTGTCCCACTCTCAGGTGCACACACAGCGCTTACATTCAAACGAGGCAGGTCCCTAGGCTCTTCTAATGAGGTATGGTTTCATCGGTTCTCGTCCCCTCCATTTGGTTCCCCTTTCATCCCTTCCCCTTCACACATTTTTGTTTCCTTTTTTGCTTCATGTCCTCCTGTCTTCATGTCTGGTCATCTCACCCTTTTTTTCGTTTGCGCGCACATTGGTCCCGGCCTTAGTGTGTACGTGCACTTCTACATACATTTAAACACAGGTTTCAGGTTGCCCAGGTCTTTACAATGAGGTGGGCTTCATCGGGTGTCCCTGTGCGCTTGGTTCCCCTTTCATTTCAACCACACGCACCTTTGTCCCGTCTCGTCCTCCTGTCATGTCTTCATTCTTTTGTCTCTTGTGCGCGCACACGTGCACATTGGCCCTCACCTTGGCTTTACGCCTCCCCTCGGGGAGGCGCGTGTGTGTGTGTGTGTGCCCCTTGTAGTCACAGGGATTCTGTTGAACTGTTTTTCTTTCACATGAGCAGGGGGTAGCGGCAGATCACTTGGGGCCGCTACCAACGAAGACGCCCAATTAATCTGGTGAAATCAGAGTTGGCCACTCTGACGTACCTGCTTGACTTTTAACATTTGCTGAGTTGAGCTTGACATTCCGCAGACTTGCACGCTACGACGTCACCCTGTCGTTCCGACTTCGACTTGCGAGTTTGGCCCCTTCTCCGTTTGAGGACCCCGAGGTTCCGGTGGTTTCCTACTTGTACCCTTAAGAAATGGTACCCCAGGCCGGCGTGTGGCACCGCTGTCAAGTCAGTATGCATATCCACAAGTGTGTGAACCCTTCAGTCAAACAAACCCCTTTGCATTGTATAAACTGGAAGAAGAGACTGACCGTGCAATGTGTGCCTGCGTTGTAAAACCAACAATCTGATCCGCTATGCTGCAAGCACACTGATTTACAGGCAATGTGCGTTGATGCCCGGAAACATTGGGCAAAAGCTTGGCAACTCCAGATTCCAGTCAATCCACGCGCTTGGAATTCTTGTTGACAAATCAAAAGTCCAGGTGCCTGCACTCCGTAATTCATCCACACTGGCAGAAAAGTCTTTGCGATCGTGTCAGCCATTGAGCCCACCCCAGGTGTGGTAACAGGGTTGTGTATTAGTATCGATAATTGTCAAGCTTTCCAGTCTTGAATGGTGCATACATACACATCTGTGTTTGGCAAATCCATATGATAATGCTCACCTGAACGTCAACCCGCAATAAACAGCCCCCCTTGTCATCGAGAAAGGGCCGAAAAGCCATGTGTCGAGGAACGGTCAGAATGGCTGCCAATGTGCATGACTCGCCTCTGCAATTTCACCTTTGGAAACAACGTCCTACCTACTACATATTATTTACCCTCCAAACGGAAAATAGATCCACACTACTTGCTACGGCAACCTTCAAATCCTTATATAAATAAACATTGAAGCGCATGAACAAAATGACATCATTTTAAACTGCGAACTGAAAGCATCTGAAGTTTGATGCTCTGTTGAGCCAATGGGGCAGCAGGAGCTGGGCTATGTTTCACCCACTCGTAGCTGCATGGCTCTGCTTTGTACAAGTTCATGCTCTACTTCAGGGTTCAGAATCTATGTTAAAAGTCCAAAGCTTTCGACAGTTGGAAACTGTGGATGCGTGATCCTGAGCCCATCCATAGAACACAAGTCCTAGTAACTACTGGATCCTCAACACAACACTATGACGAATGCCTCAAACTACAAGACCCAATTTGTCTCGAAACTTGTACAAGTGACAATTCTGGCGGCTTGAAACCTGCACCCTGCACTATGCACAGCTGGGCAAATGGCCAGCTCAGCGGTTCGACTTCAGGTCAGCTCCTGGGAAACAAAATCCATATGAAACGTGCTTTACGACTTTTGCCAAAAAGAAATGGGAACCTTTATCGAACAACCTGCAGCTCACTCTCTTATTCTCTTATTGCCAATGATTCACATGCACTTTTGCATCTTGAAGCCCGGAGTTCATTCAAATTGCAAACTATAAGTCTGAAAGACTTAGAGACAATCGACTTAAGGCGGTCCCTCCAGTCTCAAGCCTTTGCTCCGAGAAATTAATAAAAGGAAGGCAAGGGTCCACTTAATGAGGCCCCCTTCAAATAAGGAGCCTCTCTTTAATATGAAGAAAATATGTAATCCTTCGCAAGGATATCTAAATCCAGACTATAAAAGCACTCCGCCTCCGAGGAGCTCAATGCCGGTGGTCCAGTAGGAGGTGGCAGTGGGGGAGCCCCCTGCAAAGAGTTGGTTGTTCGCAATGAACGGTTCTTAACAACCATTGTAGTGAATCTTGAAGAGTCTCTTCCCAAATCTTCCCCACAACATCCTGAGGTATCCTGAGATGATTGATCCAAGTTGTTGTGGTATGTGTATATATATAGAGATATATATATATATAGAAGTTACATAAGTGTCCCTCGGCTGTTGATCAGAATCTTGATTGAACTTCTACACTCCTCACGGGCCAAACCACCTTTCCACAAGTGGGCAAAAAGGACCACCTATTCATCGGTTTGCAGGAAGCTATTGAAATCCATTCAAAAGAAACGGTGAGTATTTTTCCTGTGATGACATCACATGTGTAATTGCTGGATTGGGCGCTTGACTCCATCTGAAAACGATAAACATAGCTCCTGCACAGAACATCCACCTAGGTGTAAGACTTGGAGCACCAACGCCTGATATAGTTAATATTGAGGATACACCAACTTCCACTCTAAGTATACCAAGTATACCATTGCATGTTTCTCCATCAGGACCCACATATCCAAGCATGCTTTAGCGGGACCGATTCTCCGGCTTGAATGCAGTATAACGAAAAGGAAGTATGGACAGTGCCAGTTGTGAGCACTCATGGCCGGGCGACGCATCTTGCACACAACAAAGTCTAAATCACACCGGTGTCTTTGAGAGGAATCATTGCAGATGTCATCATCTGAACAGTTCAGAACACCATCAAAGCTTTTTTTCGTCAGAGAGCCCAGAGGTACATCGGCATAGGGACAGACAGACACGAGAAGATCAACAGTCTTCATTCTCCACAAGACCAAGGCCTGACCATTTACGAAACTATCAAGGCCTGGTGGCCTGACTCGAGAAGAAACACTAAATGTTTTGATCTGGGTCAGTGAGGCAAAGATCAGGTGTGAATCCTTTAATATGGGCGGGCTGGTAGAAAAATGCAAGCAGGC